GTCAACACGGACCGAATCCCGGATCACCCCGGATGGGGTCCGGGATGGTCCGGGACGGTCCGGGACGTATATGGGACTGTAGCTTTAACGAAAATATCTACCTCTAGATTTTCACCGCTCCCTGCAGTTAATCTAGCGCATTCTAGATAATACAAGCTCGCCGACAACCCATTGGAAACCATGTATCAAATTTAACACGCTGTTCAATGGGATGTTCGTTAATTTGTACATAAATTATGACGGTTTCGTGAAATAATGATAATATTTTTATTTTGTTGCTTATATAGCGCTTAATACGTCGGTAATGACCGAGTTTCTAAGCGCTTTACATTATCACCCTGGTCATCGGATTCTGGCTTGCCCGCACACAATGTATGCACTTTCTTCACTCCCTGGAGAGCATTCCAACAAGAGCTACTAGGCTCAAATTGCTAAGCATACCACATTGGCTTAAGCATCCTACCGGGTACCCATTTAACACCTGGGTGGAGAGTGGCAAATGTCGATCAATTTCTTGCCAAAGGACATTTGTGCCGCGGCGGGACTCGAACCGCGGACCTTGTCATTAGGGACTTTTAGATTTGCACGTCGACAGCTTTGACTGCAACGTGTGACGTCTTTTTAAGGCACTGCGCATGCGTCACGTCATCTCAGTCGGCGATCGAGAATGCGTCAACCTTGATTTTCCTAAATCTAGTACGGTACTAGTATATGCCGCGTGCGCATAAAATATACAGTTCCTCAGGTAGACAAAGGAACATCCCTTCCCTGCTATTATGTAGAAATGTGTAGAACAGGTGTCACATGCATATTCACCTGTTCTACACATTTTTACATAATAGCAGTGAAGGGATATTCTACCACAGCAATAGGCCATCTTCGTAATGTAACCAAATTTAATGCATAAAGTCTTTGTGAAGTGCCTCAATACAAATTATTTCATTCACCGGGTAAGAATAATAATATTTCAATCGACATAATCCAAACTGCATACATTAGTAGTTGCCAGGTTGGACAAACATTACGGCCCGAATTCACAAAGCAAGGTTTGAGCTCAGACCAAGGTTTGAGCTCAAACCTCCTTTGTTTCGCAAAACCTCCTTTTGTTCTTTACAAACCAGGTTTGTAAAAAAACGCGTAAAACGAGTCATATGACGTACGAAAACCAAGGTTTGTCGACAAACCTCCTTTGTGAATTCGGGCCCATGGCTTGACCTACCTTTTATGCAGTTTGCATTCTGACTATTGAATTACTATTATTCTTATCAGGTGAATGAAATAATTTGTATTGAGGCACTACACAAAGACTTGTGTATTAAATTTGGTTACATTACGAAAATGGTCTATTGTCCGTCATGTTCATAGTGTTACTTCCTGCATGCATGTTTATCGTCTAGTGCAATCTAACAGATTTCTAATTGTAGTCAACATGGGCAGTTGAGTACGTTGACACGCATGATCAGTCGGCGTTCGTCGTGTTCTCGTCCACTCAACCTAAAAGTCCCTAATGACGGTCCACTCGACCACGACACCTCTACCAGGCGCATACACAGGGGGGGGGGGGGGGGGGGGGGGGGGGGGGGGGGGGGGGGGGTAAACACCCCCCTTTGGTATTTTTATGTGTATAACCCCCCATCACCCCCATTACCCCCCCTTGGATTATTCCCATGGCTGACCCCCCCCCCCCCCCCCCCCCCCCCCCCCCCCCCCCCCCCCAAACGGAGCCAAATGTCAACTTTTCAAATTTCGAGACCAAAAAAAAAAAAGAAAAGTGTCCTCTTACCGCCCCCCCGCGCTTACTAAGCTGTCGGCTCAGTCGTTGCGATTTTTTTTGGGTCCAGTCCAGAATCGAAGAGAAAGATAGAGATAGATAGAGAGAGAGAGAGAGAGAGAGAGAGAGAGATTAGAAAATGACCTGTGAGATATTTGTCGAGTGAGCATGAACTGTCCTCTCATGCTTATTAGAGTAAAATGTATGTAGCGCCGTCTACGTCTCAACCAACTTCTTGAAAAGCAAATGATTATCAGATTATAAGAAGATAAAGTTATTCAAAAGTCTCAGAAGTCATGTTATCCCCACTAATGTAAGCCTGGTATCTACATCGGCATGAATTGCCACTTAACATTAATGTACCTGTATTGATATTCGTGTTCTATTTCCATCCATATCACTTAAAGGTATATACCAGTTATGATGATGCGATTGCATTGTGAAAGAAACGTTGTGGAATCGATCAGAACAGGTTGACCATCTAGAATATAAGTATAGGTGTGTACTGCAAGGTTCAGTCTAAGTAAATTTACAAGCACTGTATACAGAAAATGTATATGGGACTACGCGATATCTATCCAGGCCGGATAGATATGATAATTTACCACATATATCAATTAGTAGGCGGTTTCCCGGCAAAATGTGTATCATCACATATTTAAACATAATTTTGATTTGATTTGATTTGATTTGATTTATTGGTTTCTGCATCTTTTTTTCTTTTTTTCATCATACATTTTCATGAACATAATATGGTTTGATACAATATTTTAAGTGTATATAATTGTATACAGATAATAAATAATGATTGGTAATTTGAGCTTCCATTTCATTTTTAAGAGGGGGCGTTTCCAAAACTGGTCTATACCTTTAACATGAAGTTAAATATAATCTGGAGGATATGAGATGTGGAATAATCACCCGTGCATGTATAATCCAATGCTATGTCAGAAAAACCTCAGATAATACTTCAGTGTTTTAAAGGGAACTATTTGGTACCGTTTTAATTTTAAGGAATTAAATGCCTATGTTGATAATGAACAGATTCGGCATAGAGAATTCGAGTAAAAACAACAACTTCGCAGTAACTCGTACTAACTCTCGATCGTTACCCCCTTCAAACGCGCACCACGTGCAAGATCTCAATCATTCATACCCTTATAAGTGACCGGTAACTATGAAACGAAAAATTTGGGGCAATATTTTCTTCTATAGTCATGCTCACTTTCAGTGAACCATCATGCTCCATAACAAATTACAATCTTCACACGGTGATGCAACCAAGACACTCTAATGCTATGGTCACATTAACCAAAAGTAGACTGCTCGGCGGCCGAGCGGCGAGTTTTTAACCAATTCTGCCCGGCGGCTGCCCGGCCACCGAGCGGCGGCCGCCCAGGCACCGCTCGTTTTTAGGGCATCGCTCGGTCGCCGCTGAAGTTTTAGCACGGAGTTAAAATTTGGGCGGCGCCTGCTCACTTTTTACTCGCCGCCCAAAATACGCTCGGTGCCTGGGCGGTCGCCGTCCGGGCACCGACCTAATCGCTGGGCGATGCCTAATTCCAGCAGCGACCGAGCAGGCTACTGATCGGTCGGTCGCTGCTGTGATTTGTGACCATAGCTTTAGTGATGAAATATTGAACGCTAAACGCTAAACGCCATACTTGCTACTCTCCACCCTCCACCCACTCTCCACTCTCCACCCAGGTGTCAAATGGGTACCCGGTAGGATGCGGCCGTCGTTGTTGGTCAAACAGCTTGTGAGCGTCAAGTAACGCCCGGCTGGAATGCTCCCCAGGGAGTGGAGATTGTGCACACAGCGTGTGCGGGCAAGCACTGAATCAAATTACCGGGGTAATAGTATATTTGTAAAGCGCTTAGAGACATTTGCATTAAGCGCTAAGTACATATTAAATATCATCATTATTATACGACCACGCGTTCTAAATCCATCCATAGAAACAGTCATCACTGACACAACTTGCACCTGTCATAAGTTTCTTCTCAGTTTCTTCTTCCTCTTCTCCTCCTTCTTCTTTTTGTTCTTCCTATGTAGGGTGTTGGAGATCTACAGCACGAAGCTGTCTGTTTTGTGTGTGGGGCATACCGCAACTAGATCGTCAGCCTATCCATGCTGTTTTCCCCCAAGATCTGCAGTTAACAACTAGAATATTTTTACCCTTACCAAATTTTGTAATTTGTTAAAGTTTGTGAAAAATTGGTTTGTCCAGATTAATGTATCTTTAGAATGTGACATATTTAAGCTTACATCTAAAAGTATTCAACACACCAATCCACCTTTCTTTTGGAAAACACAACACAATTGCGTTAGAGGTATTAATAATTTAGTTCTAATATATATATTGGTTCTAGGACACCTACCCCTTGGACATCCACCCCTTCCCGGATAACGACCCACAGTCAACTACCCCCTATGGCAGTTATCCCCTAGGACAACTACTCCCTAGAGCAACCACCCTCTAGGACGACTACCCCCTGGGGCAACTACCCCCGGACAACTGCCCCAAGATAACTACCCTCTAGGACAACTACCCCTTAGGTAAACTACCCCCTGGACAACTACCCCCGGACAGCTACCTCCTAAGACAACTACCCCGGACAACTACCCCCAGACAACTACCCCTACGACAACCATCCTCTGGGACAACTACCACCCGGACAACTATCCTAGGGGGTAGTTGGGGGGGGGGGGGGGTAGTTGTCCTAGGGGTAATTATCCGGGGGTTAGTTGTCAGGGGGTAGTTGTTCTAGGGGGTAGTTGTTCTAGGGGGTAGTTGTCCAGGGGGTAGTTGTCCAGGGGGTAGTTGTCCCGGGGGTAGTCGTCCTAAAGGGTGGTTGCCCTAGGGGGTAGGTAGTTGTCCTAAAAGGTAGTAGTCCTAGGGGGTAGTTCACTGGGGTGGTTATCTGGGGGGGGGGGGGGGTGGTAGGTGTCCAGATACGATATATATTTACTCTTAAACGACAGGAGAGAGAGGATAGATGACAAATTTTCTTTGGTGCTTTTCTCATCCCCAAAAGAATCTATCATGTCTACACGACTTTCTCGTAAACATAGCACTCGCAGTTTCTTTATATCACCCGCGAGCGATCACGTTGATGATGTGACGACGCACGGTCGCGTACGGCCGAAAGATGGAATTCCGACACGCGAGATGGCATGCTATAGGTTCACTGGTACGTACGCTTTTAGTGATCAGATCCGTTGTGTTTACATTCGCATGTCCTGCTACGAGCGGGCAGCCGAGTGCACGGTAAAACAGGACGATATCGACTTCTCGATTGCATCCCCTGTCGTCTGCTCGGCTTGACTAGCTCCTGGCTTGAAGCTTGGAAGGGATTTGACGGAAGGAGTTTACTGCAGTTTTTAGGTGAGTCAGTGAATGACATTTACCTTTTCTGTCTTTGAAATTTCCTCGTTTAATCATCGGTTATTAACATTGTTCACTTTATTGATTGATTATTTTAATTTGTTTATTTTTAATTTTTGCACAGGCAACAGATATTTCTAAAACGTTTTTGTGTATCAAAGGCAAATTAGATAAGATTGAAGATAAATATAGGAGAGACATAGAGAAAAAAAATAGAGAGAGAGAGAGAGATTATATATTTTCTATAATATTTGTACACACGTCGAAAATAATCCGAAAAGGAATTTTGAAAAGGGCCACCCCCCTATAATGATATCTTGAATAACTAAGTCAATGGCGTTGCAAGGTTCAACCAGATTTAGTATTTTAAAACACTTGTCAAATCGTCATTCTTAAGAATGATTCTTAAGTAATTCACTTGAATGTATTTTATACTGTACGGTTTTGTAAAAGGGACAGCACAAGTGCTATTTTCTTGTCCCATTAATAATTTGTATTTATTTCGATTTGGTAACATTTCTTAACATCTTGTACAATCATTGTTTGTAAAAAATGTTTAATTGTTGTTGGCAAATAAAACCAAGCAGTCAGTCAAGAATACGGATAGAAGACCATTACCCAATGTTATACTAATGATAATAACAATTTTGTTTAATCAGGGATGCCTTATTGCATCAATGTTGTTCTTCCTTAGGAATGTGCAATAAATATTACCCCAAAATTATTAGATACCTATTTACACCTTGATGGACGGTGGCAAATGTGAATTTATGAAGAATCTTCCGCTACATAACTCGTTGTCTATACCTGCTATCGCTTACAGACTAAATATAAACAACACTGTTTACAGTTTATGTTAGCAGATCGGGTTAGTGATAAGAGTAAAATAGTTCTGCATTCAGACAAAAGAAAGATTCCCTACTCTGACATAATTGGCCGTAATTAGACAATTAATTAGCAATATTCCTAGAAAAGATTTGTGGTTAGAATCGTTATGGGATTTGGACGGATGTTAGACGGGATTGTACATTCCTTCTCAATCGTAAGGGATATAAAATTAAGCAATTTTGTTTAAATCATCACAATTAGTCGCGACACTCAGCCAAGGAACTACTGAACGACGATTTTCTATATATAAAAAAATACAATAATTTTCTGGCATATTTTGATCGAGTGATTAAACATCTGTTGACACGATCAGAACGCGATTAATTTCTTACGAATAAGAAAATATCGTGATTGTCTGTGCTTTTTTGGTGAAACTGTCTGTAAGTAAAATTATATCTATATTCTTTTGTTGTTGTAAATTGACCGTGTACTACAAATATAATGCAGCAGGGTTTAGCATTCATGACAAATTTGTAGCGATATATTGTACAATGTGATCAGTAATTGTATATAACTTTTATTATTGTAATAATGTACATGTAATAATAATAATCTACATCAGTTCATTCAATTGTCATTCCCAAATTCCCCTCCCAAACAATAACAACAATTCATGCAGGCTTATTTTTAAATCCTTTAAACCCGTTGCCTCACGCCTATAGACAAACTAACTACGTTTCTCATAAATACATGTAGTACTACGCTTGACTTCTTCAAAACAAATCTGAAAGCATTCCTCTACAAATGTTATGTTGTCCTTAGGCTAAGGAATGGCGCCTTGTATCTTCTGGAAAAGGCGTTATTTTATTATTCATTATCATTTAATATCATGACAATAATATTTTAAACCCATTTAGAGTGAGAATATTTTGTTGGGGCATACCATTCCATGTGTTTGTAAGCATTAGCCTTCACGTTGTGTATTTCTTTAGCCTGGATTATAAAATTACACGTACAAACATCTGCTTGAATAATTATTACATTCTGTTTATACATTTTCAAGTATGAATAGTGGAGTTAAGCAGACTCGATGACAAGTATAAAATTTAATGAGCGTGTAGAAGTAGGGATTTCTACGTTGTCTTTTTAGGCCTTTTAGGGGCGCTTGTAGAAAGCTGAAAGGCGAACAAACAACTACAACACACGAATGACCGAGTGGGTCAGAGGTGTGGGAGGGGGTTAACTTATACATTTATTTCCAGTTAATGTCCCCTTCTCCGAAGTTATCTCCTTCTTCTTCTATTTTCGCCATTCAGTTTAATTTGGGGCACGTGTCCCCCGCGTGCGCCCCACTGGCTTCTCCACTCCTCGTTTAGAAACGCATTTATGAATATCTCAGACTCGGTCTGTTATTGATTTTACGAGCTATGATTATCCCATCGATCCATGAGCTGAGCATGTTGGAGTATTATGTGTTTTATTTTGTGAGTCGGATACGCCCTTTGTTCCCCAATCGTATCTGCACCTGCGGCTTCCTGCGAAAACCCGTTGGTTTATGCCAAACGGTTGTATCAACCATTTCATAGAGAATCTAAGGTTGTACAGTCCTCCTGAGCCAAAATATATTTAACATGTTTTAGGTCTACTTCATGTTTTAAATATAATAGGAAGATGGTCTTTCCTGATATAGAGTAGGTAGGGTTAATCCGTGGGTTAATGCTAAGCAGTTGTATCAATTTCGAGGAGAATATGTTGTACAGTCCCCCTATTAAAGCCAAAATATATTTAACGTGCTTACGGTCTACTTCATGTTTGAAATATAATAGGAAGGCTTTATGTAATTATATCTTTTTAAAGCCAACTCCAAAGGAAGATGTTTGAGGCCTATAAATAATCTGAGGGCGAAACAATATACAAATTCATAACTTCACTCTTCGAAGTAAATTCATGGGAAATTCTTTAAGATTAAATCCTACAGTATTCGGCAGAATGCTAATAGATTATCTGAATCGTTGTATGAGTTAATATTTCATATTGCAATTTCGGGAAACTACCCCTAACAACGTAATTATTAAAAGTCGTTAGGCCTTTCTTCTCAGCAAAATTTCAAAGAAGGATTGTGCAACAAAGTACAATGATGACTATAGTACCAATTCAAATAATAACAATAATAATATTCTGGTTATATAGAGCTTAATACAGCGACGATTTCTTAAAGCGCTTTTGCTCCTTCGTTTGATTTAGGCTTGCACACACACAACGTATGCACATTCTCCATTCCCTGGGGAGCATCTACAGACGCTCACAATGCCGAGCTTACTTAAATGATATTCACATCTTACCCGGGTACCCATTTAAAAAAAACTGGATGGAGAGTGGCAAAAGTGGATTAATAGCTCGCCAAAGATGTTAGTGCGCTGTCTGAGATTCGAACCTTCAACTCTTAGATTGAAAGTCGAGTGAATGAACAACTATACATCGACACATCGATCATGATGCAGACCAGTTTCAACTTGTCTGGAAGTGCGCAACAAAGTTTCATGGAATTAATTCAAGGGGCAGTCTTAATGAACAATTGATAAGCTTTTTCATCTGAATGGGGGTACCTTGACTTTTGTCTCCCCATGGTCTTTGGACTAAGTCCTCTATTAAGAACTCTATCGATCTGGTTGACCATTGTTTGACAAAGAAAAGAGGACCCCAATAATAATTATCAGTCTTTGATCTGCTCTCTATTATGGCTCTTTCGATCTGTTTAACCATTGTTGGATAAAGGAAAGAGGACCTCTAAACTAATTAGCAGTGATTAGAAATGAACAAAGAACACGCTCCTGGGAAGACACAACCTGTATCGTTTTCTTTTACGCATTCAGATTAGAAGTTCATTCACGGATGAATTGAAAGGTCATTTGATTTCATCATCATCATCCATCAGGTTAAGTCTAAACAAGGTCTCATAAAAAACAGTCTTTGGAGAAAGACATGCTTTCTGCCATATTTTGTGACGACGCTCAGTAAACGTCCATTATAAATTAAGGAAGTCATCACTAGACAAGCTAAACAAATAATGCAAAATAAATCAGGAGGGTGCAACTATATTTTGAGAATCTAACATCCTTGCAAGCAAATGCTCCCTAAGACCCTCGAAACATAAGTCTCGAGGAAAGCAAGCATGAAGAGGCTGACAATTTAAACCTCGAGGAAAAGAGAGTTTGGTGTTGATAATCTCCGACACTCAACAAAGGGAGGAGAAGAAGAGGAAGAAGGAGGAGAATGAGGAGGAGGAGGAGGAGGAGGAGGAGGAGGAGGAGGAGGAGGAGGAGAAGGAGGAGAAAGAGGAGGAGGAGGAGAAGGAGAAGGAGGAGGAGGAGGAGGAGAAGGAGGAGGAGGAGGATAGGAAGTAGAATAATACGAAGAGGAAGAAGAATAATTCTACTACTACAACGAAGAAGAAGAAGATAAAGAAGAAGAAGATAAAGAAGAAGAAGAAGAAGAAGAAGAAGAAGAAGAAGAAGAAGAAGAAGAAGAACAAGAAGAACAAGAAGAAGAAGAAGAAGAAGAAGAAGAAGAAGAAGAAGAAGAACAAGAAACAGACCAAGTATCTGGTGATAAAGCGGACCAGTCATATCTTCGGACAGGTGCATGTTGTGCCAGTGATGGTTGTTTCCATTGATTTGATTTAGTCCTGCGTGGTCGTAATTCACATTTAGCGATTAATAATTCATAAATAAGCGTGTCGTTGATCATGACGGTAACATCATCATGTGAATATCTATTTTTTCATTGAATGAAAACGATAGTAAATATGCCTTTGGAAGAAGTGATTGCCCAACATGTATACACCCGTGCAGGAAAGTGTTCATGCAGACGATTAGAGGAGAGAAAAACAGAATACGAAGAAGAAGAATACTATAATACTTCTACCACTTCTACCACTTCTACTACTTCTACTACTACTACTACTACTACTACTACTACTACTACTACTACTACTACTACTACTACTACTACTACTACTACTACTTATACTACTACTACTACTACTACTACTACTACTACTACTACTATATGCTACTACTACTACTACTTCTACAACTACTACTACTACTACTACTACTACTACTACTACTACTATATACTACTACTACTACTACCACTACTACTACTACTACTACTATTACTTCTACAACTACTTCTACTACTACTACTACTACTTCTACTACTACTACTACTACTACTTCTACTACTACTACTACTACTTCTACTACTACTACTACTATTACTACTACTACTACTACTACTACTACTACTACGAATGAGAAGAAGAAGGAGAAGAAGCAAGAAACAGGCCGGGTATATGTTGAGGAGGCGAAGGAGAAGGAGAGGGTGTGGAAGAATACGAAGAGGAAGAAGAATAATTATACTACTACTACAACGTAGAAGAAGAAGAAGAAGAAGAAGAAGAAGAAGAAGAAGAAGAAAAAAAACAACAACAAACAAGCCGGGTATCTGTTGATACAGTGGACCAGTCATACCTTCTGACAGGTGCATTTGTGACAATGATGTCTGTTTCCATAGATCTTTTGATCCTGCGTGGTTGTAATTGATTTTAGCGATTTATATTTCATCTTTAAGCGTGTTATGATCCATGTAGTCGATTGTTCACTGAAAGTGAGCGTGTCTTTAGAAGAATTGATTGCCCAACATGTTTCATCTAGCTACCGATCACTGCTGCTTAGTTCTCAGAAGCATTACATCATTCTGTTTAATATTTGAAGAACAAAGTTGAGATCTTCTAAAGATGAAGGAAAATAAGCTGTGATCTTTCCCATCTTCAAGATGTCCAATAAGAAATGCCACCTGAAAAGGACGGCCGTGCAAATGTCATGGAATTATCATCTACTCGCAATATATCAATTTATGTATGTAGTGCATGTGGTTTTTCAGTAATACTTGATCTTTTATCTAAAGATCCTAATATTTCTTGTTACAAGTAGAATCGCCTGCTCTTCCAAATTGAGACAAGTTAGGACACCAATGGGATAGGCTTTCATGTATTCATGACACATATGTACATTATCCATATATCATATATTAGGTCTGTGGCTAAGTAAATAATTCAGGATGGGGGAGCCTTGAGAAGGAAGGAGAAAGCGAGAGAATGTGTATGCGTGCGTATACATTGTATGTGTCTGTGTTACGAAAAAACAAAAGTGTGTGTTTGAGCGCAGATTTACGAAAGTGCAGCAATTAGTATTTTGCTGTCTATTTTGATAGAAATCGAGGAGGGGGGGGGGGGGGGCGGGGGTGGAAACCAGTTTATAGATTTGAAGGGTGGTGAGGATTAAGTTATGAGTGCATTTCTGTGAGGAGATATTTTCGTCATTACAATAATGATATAGAGCAAGGAAGAGAGATAGGGGAGAGCCTTGCAAGGGGCATGAACGATGTAGGTTGACGAAGGGGAGAGACGGGGGTGGGGATGGGGGAGGGGGGGGGGAAGAGGAGGGTTTAGCGACCTGTCTTGAGTGTCGCCATGGGTTGTTATGAAGTCCTCGACTGCCAACCTTGAACCGTGACTTTCCGAGTGTAGAATTCATTCTGAATGTATCATGCTCACTTTCAACCCATTAGAAACCGAGAAGAGCGTGTATGGGTAATCCAAATAAACCGGGCACTCCCTCGAAGAAAGAAAGATTAAAGGGACATTATTATCGAATGATAGCTTTAAAGAGAAGGTTGAGTTTGAGTATACATAAGAAAAGGAATAAGATATATGTTTGTAAGTTTTCTCATCGTTTCATTTCATTTCACGTATTTCCATAATAACAGCAAATACATTTACAAGGACTTTCACTTATTACAAAATCGATATGAGCATTGAAAAACAGACAATAAGAATTATACAAATCTGGAAATAAATTCAGTTTAATTTTTGTTTAATGAAGTGTGGTTAAATAATGCTAGCTGTATTGTAGAGGAAATAAGTATATAAATCAATATATATGTATATGAGATAGATAGATACATAGAGAGAGAGAGAGAGAGAGAGAGAGAAAGAGAGTGGGTGGGTTTGACAAATGTAACAGAGAAAGTTAGTTTCAGAAGGAGAGATAGGAAGAAAAGAGGGGGAGGGGACAAGAGAGAGAGAGAGAGAGAGAGAGAAAGAGCGAAGGGGGGGGGGGGGGGGGGTTTATAAGGGCCAGAGAAAAGTCGAGTAATTATTACAAAAATGAAATCTTCAATTTCCTCGTTAGTCTCTCAATATGCATGGGAAGATAATCTTATTAAATTAACCTGCCGATGTAAATCTCCTAGGTTAGTACAAAATAGTAAAAATAATTTGATATAATTTTTTTCTTCACTGTGTCTTTTTGTAATTCATCAATATTTCAATTTGAACTTCAAGTGACATACGGCATACTGCATACAGCATCGTTCGTATCTCTCTGCTGTGCAGTCCGGCTTCGGAATACTGTCACCAGAGATGATATAAAATATCAGAATTTCTCTGCCAGCTCGGAAAGACAATGCAGGAATTCGAACCCCTTGCACCCACGGGGCGACAAATAAATTTGACCGTGAATGCATGATCTGAACTCTTGTAAAAGTATCCACCCAAAAGTCGCGAAAAATAAGAGTTCAGGTGTTTATGAAGTACTCGCAGTGGGTCTATCCCCCGCTGTTAGTGGTCGGTATTGATATGCAAGCAGGTCTTTCTTATTCTTGAGCAGTTTTGTTGTGTCGATTTCGACAGCATCCGAGTCAGAATTTAACACTCTTGCTGTCGCGTGCCCAAACTATCGTTTAGTTTCGCCGTTGTGTTTCGCCCCATGGCGGTGAGCGAGTTAACGGCGTCTTGGGTCGAGTTGGCTTGAGGATAGGCGGCTCTCTAGGGAAGGACGAGTTTGATATTAATTGTGACGGAATATTGGCCAGTCCGTGTTGTTATGCGCCGTGTTATGAATTTGAATTTGAGATGGTGTGGCTCGCGTGGGGTGGATACTGATAGTGCGTGTCTGGTCGAAGAATGATGCTGCCGGCATTTTATTTTTATTTTTTCGGGTCGGCGCCCCTTCAACATCCAGCAAGACCCATGAAAATCCCATTGTCTTATCAATATTCCCTTTATTGATTTCACAAGCGTCTGGAATGATAATGTTGACGAACTGTCATGCGATTGCATTGTGCAGTTGTTCCATATGTCTTGATGCTTTTTAGGTGGCAGATAGGTAGAAAGTAATGCGACTTAAAATCTTTGTCCCTGTTTTGTATACTATCTTGTTATAATCGATACTCGAATGTATTTAATGTGCAGACATTTCATGTTATTTCGTTGTTAAGATATTCTTCCACACTGGGGAAAAATAAACACAAAAAGGGAAAGTTCCTTATAAGATCTAAATCTTGTTTAGATTCCACCAATGAATAAGCAAGTTCAACCAATCATACATGAGCGCTGGTTATTGTTTTTTTTCCATTTTGCCCCCTTTTACATTAAAAACACACACGATACAACCGCACAGATATGTAAAACTAATGTTCTTTTGCTGACATCTATCCTTAATCAATCACTTGTTAAAAGGCATGCGACTTCACGCTTTACATATTTCGTCTCTTGTATCAATGTGTTTGTTGCCAGATACATAATTTTCACATTCTATTTCTTCTTCTCACTTGCCATGCAGGTGCAACTCAGTTCTGCTTCACCTTAGGCAAGTTTCGTCACTTCAACCAATCAGAGCAAGCCGAAGTGCGAGCCAGCCTATGACGTCATAGCCATCAACCAATCAGGACCTTTCATACCGAAGCCGTAGGAGACAACGGAGAAGTTTCATTGTGCGGACCCCAGCGTGCACTCGACCGTGCAACTTTGTTTGTGCTAAATGAGTAGGCAGGAACCAGGCCGATGAAGTTCATTTCAATCGAGGTTTAACCGCACCGCGTTCAACACCCTTAATTTGGATCACTCCTTACAATACATGACATCAAGTTTGGTCGACATTCAAAACCATTAGTTTTAACCAACACGAAAGAAATTCAGCACATTTTGGATTATAAAAGTGCTCCTGGTTTTGTTTTCGCTGCTTCCACGCACTGACTTATGACGGCAGACTTGGCACGTTGGAGCCTTGAGACGCAGCCGATTATCTCCATGTGTGGGTACCAACAAAACCGACGCACACCCGAAGACCGAGTGGTGCCCGAGAACTTGAAGTCTACCGGCGATAAAATGGCGGACGCTCGCATCGTCGTCCTCGGCGAAAAGAAAGTCGGAAAATCGGGTGAGTTTCGAAAACTTTTGTCAAATCAAAGTTGTTATTTCTGTACAAGCGAGATTTGTCTCGGATTTCCTTTTTAAGTTTGACATAAACTTGAGAGCTCTGTAGTATTATCAATTCCTCTCCCTCATCCTGGAGATTTTCTCTCGTTTGTGTGTAATGTTACTTTGGTTAATAGCATTTTAGAACATAATGTACAATAATATTACAATCCTGGTTATGAGAAGTGAGAAATAGAGGGAGGGAGAAAGAAAGAGACAGAGAGAGAGAGAGAGAGAGAGAGAAAGAGGGAGAGGGACAGAAAGAGGGAGAGGGGGAATAATAATTAAGAAGTTGGAAAAGAGAGATAATGGAATGTTGGTCTACTGGTATACTTATATGTCAACATTATTCCGATCACGTATTTATTCGATTAGATGCGAAAATGGAATTCGACCATTAGAGACTTAGGAAGACTAATGATTATAGCCTTTCCTCTGCCAATTTGGTCCTTGCCTTTGTGACCTAAAAAAACATTTTGTCTCTATTACATCTGTGGTTATATCTGCTTCACGCCCCCCCCCCTCCCCTACCTGCGTCGTACGTAACTTCATCGACATGTTAATTCACACAACATAGTCCTAATGTTTTGACCTATCCATATTAACTTAGGTATCAATTATTTCTAAAACTAATGGACGTAGCGGAGATTGCTGAGCTTCAATTAGTCTTTCCCATCACAATAACCCTAGCAACAGTGCACCAAAACCGTGGCAACCTTAACAAAACGAAACAGAAAAGGGAATCACACTTTTAGGTTGTTTTTTTTGGCTAAAATTGATGCCGATGGGTACAATTAGGGAACATGCTTCTTTTGTATTTAGTTTGGACTTAATTAAATTATGTCAGATTAGATTTTCTTGCCGGGGGAGGGGTGCCCCCATGGCCCCTGGATGCGCCAGTCATGTTCTACATGTACTTCCCCTCCAATCCTTTCCATAACCTCACCATCTTCATCCCAGTCACGTATAGAGAATCACCCACAGTGTGCCTACCCCTCCCCTCACCACACCCTCCCCTCGAGTTACCATTAACTACCCTATATCTAGTAATACGCAGAGAAAGAGAGAGAGAGAGAGAGAGAGAGAGAGAGAGAGAATTTGGGGGGGGGGGGGGTTTCAGCCGAGTTGTATCGTTACCCTTTTCGAAACTGCGCTCTTGGGTCCCATACAATTTGCAGAATTAAATTGATCGTAGTTTGTCAAATTGAAGTGCATTTAGTTCTGCCAGCGTAAATGGATCGAACAATTACCGTGAGCACCATGTCAGAAGCCATGTGTAGACAACTGTGCTGACAATTTAACCCTTACAGTACCATACATCGTCATTCAATGTTGCAATAGGTAATAAAAAGAAAGAAACAAACGAATTAAACTGACGAATGCATCTATCATGTTTCGCAGATCTTGGCAAAATCATCAAAATATTTACCTGCAACACCAACAAAGACATGGTTCATTATCATTGACATAATATTATATATATATATATTTATTTATGTATACATGTACAATTGTATATATTTCATTTCTGCATAATTATACGAGCCGCTTTACATGAAAACTCTTAGTTTACGATAAACGTAAAAATCGAGAAATAAATCAAATTAGAAATATTACATCATAATTTAATGTTACATTTATACAGGTTTATTACTGCATATATATTTTATTTTGAAAAAGAGATAAAGTTGAAATACAGTATTAAACATTAAACAGAGTAATGATGAATTGATGAAAATTTCGTGACATATTAAGCCACCTGCGATTCGTGTGGGATGTGTATTGAAATGGCCATAACTCCCTCGATGATCTTCAGAAACAAAGGTATACACAACAAATAAACAAACAGACATAAGAAAGAAACACGATAAACCTATTGCATTATTCACCTATATAGGAAGGTCCATTGCTTCATAACATCCGTAATCTGATATTTGTTTATAAAGCAAAATTGACTAGCTATTATTTTGAGAAGTATCTCTGAATTATGAAGAAAAGAGGACCTGCACAATTCATTTTTAAGTGCTGTTTCGAGTTAAAACATGTTCTCGCATGACTTGTGCAGAGATGCAATGCAAATCCGCTCTAATTTTCACAATGTACTCTGCCATAATGAACATCCCCCTCTCTATTATGTTTAATCCTGGTATAGGGCATCACTTAATTGTTTAGTTCTTAAGTAGCGAGATTTAATTTCTCACTTAAGAGTGACGGAGCGCGAAACTTAATACACCTGTAACCTAGACGTATTAATTGCTCCTTTATAAACGTCGAAAGATTTAATCCACATATTTAAAGGACCACATCCCCGCCCTGAAAGGTGATAGCAGAATACTGAATCGACGAACCTAAAGACTTAAATCCCGTTTAATGAACAACAAAAGACTTTAATCTACACTTGAATCGCTTGCTTACCTATCCTATTAATGTATTTTGCTACTTTCTCATGTGTCCTCGTCTTTTGCATTGTCCGGGTTAGATCGCCGAACATTTGAAATCGCCGCTATAATTCACATTATCGATTAAAGAACATTGTAAGCGTTTCTTTGAATGGGATTTAAACTGAACTTTGATTGGAGAGGACGGTTGCATCCCTACTATTCATTGTATGTGAGGGTCCTCAGAATGGAAATTAGCGCTCGCCTGTTATGCTCATTTTCGAGGAAGCTATCAGTTTTGTTTTGTTCTTATTTTAAACATTAGATTTCAATCGTGTTAATTGAGAGAGCATCCTGTATAGTTCAGTTAATACACCTGCACGTAGACGTATTAATTGCTCCTTTATAAACGTCGAAAGATTTAATACACATGTTTAAAGGACGAATCTTCAAACAAACTCAGTTAAGTTGAGCTTGACTATATTTTGCCAAAACAATTAGAAAAGAAAAGAGAAAAGGAATAAATATCACGTGGAATATGATGCTGATTTAAAGATTTGAAATAGGGCATTCAAGTTCATCGTAGCATTGGCCTTATTTTTATTCATTTCGATTCTGTCTCATATTTAATGACATCAATATTTACCTTGGGTATATTTGTAAAAACATGGCAATTCATTAACATCAGGCACGTCTTTTCAGAACAAAGAACCAAAAAATAACGAATACAAACAAACAAACAAACAATACCAGAAATATTATGTTATCTCCCACACAAAAAACCGCTTGCAATTTGACATTCTTCATTACTGAATGAAAATTAATGTCTAAATTGACACATTCTTCATTTTAATCATTCTTAATTGTTTCGAGATTGACATAGAAATGCGCAAATATAGGCCTTCATTACAGAATGAGTATAAATAACTTGTGAAAATACACGGCACAGGTTGTGTACCAGCTCGTATAGTTTGCAAGTTCGTGCGTTGTCTATATAATATGCAAGCTTAATGAAAATGAATTCAACAAAATAATGAAATCTAATTGTTGAGATGTACATGTAGGTAGAATCAATAAATTCTAATTCATGACCGAAATACGCTGACATCCGTCTTCATTACGAATGTTAATATGGCTTCATATTTCGCTTTTACGAGAACTTTATGGCCTGATCCTGATAAGAATTATAATCTGATGTAAGATTGTAAAAGCCATTCATATCACTGTGTTTGACAAGCCTCTGTTCCCTTTCTCAAGTATAATATCATATATACAACATTTGTTGATGTTGTAAATAAACCAGTCATAACCTATCTTGATACTTCTTTTGTATGTACCTGTTCCGTAAAGGATAATTAAAAACTGTTCACTTTGTTCTGTAAATTTGTTATGATTTTGATTTGATTTGATAATCCTTCATCTAAGTTTTGAAGAAAAAAACTTCCATATTCGAAATGCAAAAAAAAGAGAGAGAAAATACAAGAAATAATGACATCTTATTCATGAGATACAGGTATAATCAATAAATATCACTTTTTACCTGTATTAACAATACATCAAACCTGTATCGCGAGGTAATACAAAAAAAAATAAAAATAAAAGAAATAATGACATCTTATTCATGAGATACAAGTAGAATCAATAAAAATCACTTTTTACCTGTATTAACAATACATCAAACCTGTATCGCGAGGTAATACCAAAAAAAGAGAGAAAATACAAGAAATAATGACATCTTATTCATGAGGTACAGGTAGAATCAATAAATATCAATTTTTACCTGTATTAACAATACATCAAACCTGTATCGTGGGGTAGGGTACGCATGTTCTGTGTCTGCATTTTTTTAACGAAGAACTGTCTGACCTGTTCCTTTTATCCGTGACAAAGTCGTTTATTTCTACCCGACATGACTCCCCGTTCCTTTTTTTACTGTCGTAACATGCATGTAACATTGTAATCAATCTGCTTTTGATGGTGGAGACAGACATATTGTGTTCTGCATGCGTGTACCTTGTATTTTAAAGACTTCATTATCATGAGTTATAACTTCCCTGCTCATAACGATACGAGATGATAGTAAAACATAACCTATACCATAATATTTGTTAAACATTGAAACCTAACAATAGCATTGAATAGGCCTGCAACGATTGATTTAAAGCTGAGATTAGGAGGAAAATACTGTACACAAAGAATTGTCATCGTTTAAATTAAGCTTCGAGTTCATCGTCGAATTAGATGACAAAGAAAATAAATAAAAGAAGGATTATCATATTAAACAACAAGCGCAATGTTAATGTAAGAGGCTTCTAACAGTCAATAGCCTTTTAGGCCTACATGTCTAGTCTTGCAATATGACGTGTTTTGTTGGAGGGGAGAGTAACCCGGGGGTGGGGGGGGGGGGGGTGTTTATGGGCAAGGGGACGAGTCTAAAAATATGAATGAATGTTGTATGTTTCTGTAAATGTTACAGTAAGGAAAACGTAATCCATCAACTTCCTAAGACTGGCTAGGATAAACATGTGCTTGAATGTTGAATGTTTCTGTAAATGTTAACAGTAAGGAAAATCAAAATCAAAAT